TAATTTTAAAGCTAGGACATATAAGCTAACCCCTCCAAAAGACCCACCTGGCTTCAGTATCCTCAACAGATCCGGCTGCTCGGCGGGCAGTACGAACAACAGCATTGACACCAGTATCGCCGAGGTGGCATCGGTATAGAATCTGTAATATGGCGAAATATACTAAATAAGCAGCACTATTAATCTAAATTTCAAAATCTCACCCCTTCGCAAAATATTTCCCAAATCCCGGCACAATCCCCGGATTCCTGCCCATCCACAACGCCAGCAACAGCGCGAAGCAGAACATCACCGATTTTTCCGCGTAACTGAGGCAATTAATAAAAAATTTGCGTTTATTTTAGCCACCTCGTCCTCGGCAATTTCTCATACCGATCGTGCAGCATCTTGGTGACGTGCTCGTCTTCTTCGGGAGCATCCTGAAAAATATTGGGGGTTCTTTCTGTGATTTTACACGTCGCATAGGCTTTACCTGTTAAAAGACCAAATATTCTACTCACCCGAAGGAAAAAGAGCCACAACGTCGTCCAGCAGGCCATCAGACAGCACAACATCAGCGGAACGGCGAAGAAGATCCAGGAAATGTAGTTCAGGGAGCCGTCCTCGTCGGGGAATAGGCTGAAAATGGGGTCGGTGATAAGTATTCGGAAGGTTCTTAAAAATCTATCTTTCTCTCTCTCGCTCTCGTTCTTTCTCTCTCTCTCTCGCTCTCTCGGTTTTTCTCGTTCTCTCTCGCTCTCTTTCTCTCGTTCTCTCTCTATCTCGCTTTATCCCTCGCTCGCTCTCTATATTTCTCTCGATATCTCTCGCTCCCTCTCGCTCTCTTTCTCTCTCTATCTCGCTCTCTCTCTCTAGCCCTCTTTCTCTCTGTCTGTCGCTCTCTCTCTCTCTCTCTTTCGCTCTCTCTCTCTAGCCTTTTCGATCGACTCACTTTGTCAACTGGCCGAGCATGACCAGATTAGAAGGTGTCCCCGTGGCAGTCCCAGTTCCGCCGATATTTGCCGCGAAACAGATCGACAATACGAGTCCGGTCGACATCTTCTTACAGCCCAACCTAGGCGGCATAAGGTGTTGCCTCGGAACTCCACTTACCGACTGCCCTGATTTGGGTGGGAATTGAACGACTCGACGAGTTGGCCGATGACCGATTGCCCGATTGGTACCATCATTGCCGTTGTTGCCGTGTTCGAGATGAACATACTGTAAAAATTAAATTGTTTACATATGCAAAATGCTTCATTTTTCAGTTTATACCGTTTATTTAATACCATACAGATATTATTAGTTTTTCCTGGCTAAACCCCCCCCGCTAACAGTCCAGTAACGATTCTTGGTCACCCTCGTTCGCAACGAGCCCTTGAAACACAGCTGCCCTACTGCGTTCCGCTCCTATCCACACCCCTTCACACACATCAGTGCGTATTGGCCAGAAGCCAGTAGTGTCTCTGGATGGGCGTCAGAATGGGTGTATGTGTCTATCTATCTGTTTGCCACTATCTCTCTCTGTCTCTCTTTCTCTCTCTCTCTCTCTCGCTCTCTCTCGCTCTACTGCTGCCAGTCCCGAAGCGATCCCCTTCGACCCCTGGGACAAGAGACGATGGCGCCAATATCAGCCCTAGAATCAACAAATCTGTCGCGCCACCCGGTCGACCCTCTCTTCGACTCCATGGAGAAGCCCCCGGTCAGCTGGGTGAAAATCTGATGAAAATTTGAGATCAGGGTGATCAGGGGAATTGCTTAACGTTAGCAACCCTGATTAACGGGAAACCGCCAAAATCCCGACATTCAAAATACCGACAGCCAGAAACCACCAATTTTAAAACCATTTATGCGTAAATCGGCCGAAAAATATCACATTTTGGCTGTCGGGATTTTGAATGTCGGGATTTTGCCTGTCTGGGTTCTGAATGTCGGGATTTTGCATATCGGGATTTTGGCTGGAATTCCTGGTTAACCTAGGTCTATGCACAAGAATAGCTAAAAACTACGCTGATTAAGCATAGTTTAGGTACACCGGGGCTACCCTAAAAACTACGTTACTCCGGGCAACATCCCAGACTCGCAGATGGCACTCTCCCTTTAGTCAGCCACCCAAACTCATGTCGGAGATATCCCTCCCCCCCCCGCGGAAACCTGTAACTTGTAGTGTGCTTGCACTTTCCTTGCTTTTTTTGCAGCAATGCTGTTAAAAGCACAAGGAACACTGGGCAACATCTTGCCCGAGTGCAGCGAAAGAAACGAACTTCTGTCCTGGTCAACAAGGCTTTTCCCTGATTTCTTCTCTCTCTCTTTCTCTCCCTCTCTCCCCCTCGGCCTGCCTCTTCGGCTTTCTGTCTCTTTTCTTCTGCTTGGGTTGTGCGTCACGGGGCCACTGTGAGAACAGCTTGGAGGAGGAGGGAAAGATCGTTGACCTGTTGATCAGGTAAGCGAGAAATAGCGTAAGCTCAAACGTAAAAAAACGTAAAGCAGCGCGTAGGTGACTTAAACCTAAGCCGACTCTACGCCTAAGGCTGAACCTAATCCTACTCAAGTCTAAGCCAAGTCTAAGTCCAGGCCCAAGCCCAAGCCTACACCTAAACCTAGGGTGAAGCCTACGCCATAAGCTACGCTACTCCTGAGCATGACCCTAATTTCGGGTGAAGGTACTTTCGAGCTTGTTCCCAAATTCAAGCATTTTTTCATTCCAACCATCTCCCGTCAAGTTCAAAAAGACAATCACATGCCCCCCTCCGGGTATGCCAAAAGCAAGCCGCTCGGGTTTCGCGTCACCTTTTCGGCATTTCTCTGGGTGCACCCACCCCAAAACAGCTGACCGCGGGCCCTAAAGGGGAGCCCGGAATTCTTTGCCTCTCACCTGCGTCTGCCTGCTTTTTATTTCATGCCCCGTGGCCTCTGGGGTCGGGACAAAGGCGGAACACACATTCTCGCGGAGCGCTGGGATTACGGTGGGCTCAACGAGCCGCTTGAGCCCCTTTTTTGAAACTTTTCAATGGGTAGATGGGGGGAAAGAATGGCCGCCGAGATGAGGGCCCTTTGGACTCAAAAAGCGGCAGAACAAACGACAAAAAAATTTTAGAGGTCGAAAGGTAGGGGTTGACGGATGGCACCTAATTACGGTAGCTCGTACCCCAATTTTTAAAGCACTTGATTTTTTAATTTTTTTATTAAAACGGCTTAGCGTTCAAAAAAAATTATAAAGCAGTTACCTCAACAATGCCGTGACGGTCATAAACCCGGCCATAATCCATTTTGGCTGACTGCCCACGAGCCGCAACACCGACAGGGCAACCCTGAAAATTGTTGATTTTGCATCGAAAAATGGCCGGAATTTAGATCCCGCTAATTCTACAAAAAAAACGTTCAACCAGTTTATTCCAGTCGAATTACCGTTATTTCCCACGAAATAAAAATCTATCTTTTGTAGCTTTTTACCATAATTTTAAGGTGAAAAATCTTCGACAGCCCCACCTTTCATGCAAATCGCACTTCTCCACGGCCGCCGCCATGATCAACCCGCCGATGAACAGGAAGTTGGTGTCCTAAAAAAGTTCCGTATTTTTAGATTTCACATTTTACGATTTTTTGGTATTGGCCTGTTTGCAGGGGGTGTAGCAATGCAAACTAACTTTTGTCTTTCCCCCTCTACTTACCTGTTAATAATATAAAACGTATTTTTCTGGTGCTTTTAAGAGTTTTTCATTGCTAAAAGTCATAAAAATTTTTTGGTAATTTCTCAGGCATTTTGTAATCGTGAATTCGAAAATCGACAAGAAGTTTATAAGTTTGTTAAGAACTTTTTATATCTGAGGACTGCGTTTGCTCAGAATTTTATATGCTATAGAGCCCTAGGGGGTTTGGTTTTACTGGGAAAAGCTAGTCCCCCCCCCCCCCGCTAACAGTCCAGAACTTTTTTCTTTCCTGTCCCTCTACCAATTCACTAATTAACTCGCGGTGTCCCCTTTCCGGAGTCCCGTTTTTTTCACTCATCACGGCCGGAGTGGGCCCGATTGGGGTCCCAATATTTGCTGGTTGGGTGGGGTGGCCCGTTCGGGGGGATGGAAAAGCGATGAGAAATGAGGAATTTCGCCCCCCGGTTGGCCACACAAATTGAGAAGCAGCCCAAGAAGAGGAGGAGGAGGAGGAGGAGACGAGGAAAGAAATGGTTTGGTTGAGAGAGATAGAGAAAAGAAAGAGAGAGAGAGAGAGAGAGAGAGAGAGGGGGGGAGGGGGGGGGAAGAAGATTGGAATTCTATCTGCAAACGTGATGATGGGGGTCTGGGTTGGGATGGAATGTATTATGGGAAGGATACGGTGGTTGGGACTTTCCCCAAAAATCCCTGCTAGATGGACTTTCAAAATGTCAAATTTTCAGAATATCAAAATTTTCGAATGGCGAAGTCTCAAAATGTCGAAGTTCAACTCGAAATTTACATAACGTGGAAATTTCATAACGTCGAAATTGACGTATGCAAATCTGCCGGAAAAACCCCCAATCCAATCCAAAAATTTTTAACATCTTGAAATACCGACATTATGGATTTCGAAATTATCAGTTTCGGAAGGCAGCAAATCCTGCTACATAGCCTTCTCAAGTAAGACGCGCAACTTACGTTAATATACTCCTTGGCGGTGTTGTTACAGTCCAATACCCCGGTCAACGGGAATAGAATGACCGGCATCATTGCTGTTATCGCCAATGGCATCACCTGAAAATTACTCTCTACTATTTTTATATATTAGGTTATATGATCATACAGTACTCCTCGGCATCCAGCTCCCAAGTTCTACTGAATTCTATCACTTCTCAGCCCCCTTTAAGGTACGAGTAAAACGCACCTCCGTCATCCAGTAGACGGCCATCACGCATACACAAAAGGCGCATCGGAATTCCTGAAATATAGTTTGATTTTAAGCTTATAGATCATTGGCTTTAACTTTCCGCCTAAAAGCTATTCCCAATTAATTTCGCCGGACCGCAGACTTTGGACCGAGATTCTAGGGGAAAGGCGCGAGAGAGGGAGAGAGAGACAGCGAAGATTTCGAGAGTATCGGTAAATACAGGGGGGTGTCGATGTGGATGGGAGGGCGCTTGAAAAAGTGCTAATTCCATGAAGATCTCGTTTTTCGTTTTTTTTTTTGCATACAAAGACCAAAGTTTCAGTTCTTCGCGTATAGGATTGTTCTCAATTTGACTTCAGCCAAAATTTTTTCTCGCTATTTGGATATTAACATTTTGCACTTGATAAAAGAGAACCATAATCCTGTTTTCCGGGTGAAAATCCGGGGTACTACAATTTACACCTGTGCACAGGATAGACACTCAAACCAGCGAAACGGAACAGTCGACCGCTAAACACAAAAATTCGGATAACTTTTCTACAGATTTCAAAAAGCAGCATCTATATTTATAGCTCTCCTCTCTCTCTCTCTCTCTCTCTCTCTCTCCTACCTTTTGCTGAGGGGGATTTTTAAAGTCTGCGATGCCCAGAGGAGCGTCCGTTGAGTGTAATGCGGCGGACGTGCCCTGCAGAGAGTCCGAAAATGTGCCCTGAGGGCTTATTCGAGAGTGAGAGAACGAAAGAGAGAGAGAGAGAGAGAGAGAGAGAGAGAACGAGCGACAATGAGAGAAAGAGAGGATAGAAAAAACATCTCAACCAGCTATCAATCTAATCATCCCATTTTCCGTTCTTTAAAGATCCCCCTTGGGGCGAGCGGTCAACAATTGGCAAACATCAAGGTAGATTTGCGGCTTTTGGGTCCTTGGCTCTTAGCGGGGGGCCTTCACATTTGCATATAGCCCCAATTATCCATAGAAAGAAATTGACGCCATTTTTGTAAACTGGGAGGGAATTTTCCGGTTTAAAACATACCAAAAAATTCGAATTGTCTATTTTGATTTAAATAGATTAAAATTGTTAAAGTTTAAAATCCTCTATCGATTTTAAGATGCTTGAAAAAGACACTATAACAAAACAACTCATTAATTTTGCCATGGAGGTGTGCGTTAGATGCCCCCCCCGCTGACAGTACAGTACCGCTTTCAACATCCACCAACCTTTTCTCCGCCTATCAGCAGAAATGAGAATATCATCGGCGTCAAAATGATGATCAACGCCGGCTTGATGCGCCGCAGCAATTGGATCACCTTCTCCTTTAGCGTCGCCTGAAAAACATGGTATTTACAATGACTCCATTCGACCCTTAATTTTCATAAAGTTATACCACATGTCCATCGGGAAAATTGTCAGCCTCCGGCGAAATTTTGGACATAATTTCAGTAGGTTTTTAGGTAGAATGGCCAAAAGCAGCAGATTGACTGTACGGAATGAGGAGTGTCCCGTAGCCCATTTCACCACCTTTGTTTGACCTTCGGATTTTGGAAATTAGCCTGAGGCCCCGCAGGATTTTTCGATGCTCGAAATTTTGAGATTTTTTAGGAGAATGACTCCGAGAGGAAGTGGAAAAACGTACGTCGTAGTACTGCGGAAATTGGCTGCTCGACGCCGACTCGAGCATCCGTTGCCGCGACTCTAAAATTCGGGAGGTAACGGGCGATTTTTGACGTAGGAGATGCTGCTATCATACTCATTCCGAGGAATTTTCGAGGGCATCTTTTGGAAAATAGTTCGGAATCGTTTTATATTTTCAAAACTCATTTTAACAATTTTCGAATCTTCAAATTCCGAGGCAAAACCCACCTGACGAATCTGGCCAATCCGATTTTAGCAACGACATACGAATTGGATTCATCTTGTCGCCTGAAAATTGAAGCAAAATTACGAGGTAAGACTTTAGAAGAGAAAAAATAGAAAATTGTAAATTTATCATTTTGAATCGAATCAATTAAAGCAAAGCAAAAAGGTATAAAAAAATCCTATGAAAGAAGCATCAATTCTTCGCCAATTTTAGTCGTTACTGACAAAAACCACTAAAACCATCAAGAATTCAGAAGTGACGAGTAGAATCGCGCCGAGATTCAACCACTATGGGCCCCCACCCTCTTGGGTCCAAAAGGGGGCGGAGCGTGGTCTTTTGCTTTGGTGACGTCCAGGGCCCCCAGCTGTCCCCAACTGGGTCTTTCAAGGTCTCGCCTTCTCTCTCTCTCCCTCTCTCTCTTTGTCTCTCTCCTCTCTCTCTCTCTCTCTCTCTCTCGCTCTTTCCTCCCCTCTCCCCCTCTTTTGCAAACCGCATCCGGTCACAAGCTTATCAAAAAGGAGGAACCAGGATTGTTAAAGGTGGAGTGGAGATGACACAATGTAGCGTCACCCTGTTCCCCTTCTACCGTATCAATATGTAGGCGGGGGACAGTTTAGAAGTAAGTCCTACGCATAAACCTAAGATTAAACCTAAGCCTAGCCTAAGCCTAAGGATAGGTCTAAGGCTTACCTAAAGCTAAGCCATACCTAAGCAAAAGTCAAGCCTAAGCCCTCGCGCAGCCGCCATCTAATTTCACGCCTAAACGACGAGCAACAAGCCTGAGCGATTTAATTCCAACCCCCATGCCTATCAGGGGGCACCCAACCATAAACGTCAAACCGACACGCCCTGTCGACTCGACTGTCAAGAACGCACTGGGCCGTCAATAAAAGCCAACGTATTGCTTTGTTATCGAAAATCGGGGTTGTAGTTTGGAGGGCTTGCTGCTGATAGGCTAGGTAGCCATCGAAACCACACAAAAAACCTGAAAATCTAAGTCACAGAGAAGCTTGGCAATCTCCTTAGCTTTAGTATTTGGCTAAATCACCGAAAAAATCAACCTGAAATTCGAAAGTCCATCGTCAAGAACAGGTTTTCCGCAATGTATTTTTATGGCGGCAAATCGTGCGAAAATGTATAATGGATCGTCGGGTAGACAGTCCGACCCGGTCAAAATCTCTATGTGGGAGCCAAGGAAACACGGCCAACAACCCCCACGCTTTATCGCTCAGAATTGCGGAAAGTGACGTAGGTTATAAGCAATTTGAAGGTATCAAAAAGTAACATAATTTTTCTAAAAGAGTGCCAAATTGATGCGTTTTTGGGGGGAATTTGGGGAAAAAACCGCGGCTGATTCCAAAAATCGAAACAAGCCGAGCAAAAAAAAAGAAAATCCATTATTTGCACCTTTAATGGTTGAATTCAAAACAGCCAGTCGAGCTATGGGGCTGGAAAATGTTTTTTTTTAGGCTGGCTGCCGCCATTTGCACAGCTGGCATTCCAATTTTTGGGTGGGTAGAAACATTTGGATTTGACTGGGTGGGGGCGGTAGGGAGACGCTTTGTGGTAGACCCCGAAAAAAATATATGAAAGCCATTCTGATACGATAAGCAAAATCGCAAAAAGGCAAAAACGAGAATTACGGAAAAACAGTGTTTGGGGGCACCCAGCACTTTAAGCCTTGCGCGCCTATTGCGCAATGTTGGACCTAACACTAACCCGTTTAAAATGCTAAAGCAAGCCTCTTTAATAAACAGCCATGAGCTACAGTAATCCAAAACAGATAGTCCAGCGCCCCACCGGAGAAACGGTCGAGAAAAATTCGACTCAGAAAATTCCGGAAGCGCGCAAAGGGGAAGTGGCCTCCTCCTCCCGGCTGGGGTCTATGAATTTCGCTGCGGGAGCCCGCGGCCAAAAAGGGCCTTTTGGCCGAGCGGGGCCCTGAGAGGGGCGGGCCTCTTTAGGGCCCGCTGCGGCCCGACAGATAGAGCGGAGGGAAAGGAGAGGGGGTAGAGAAAGAGAGGGAAAGAAGGGGAGAAGGGGAGAGTTGATGGAGTCTGAGGGGAGGGCAGAGAAGCGAGAGATATTGGGGGTTGGAGGCTGAGACGAGGGATTTGGACGAAAGAGGGCTTTGGACCCAGAAGAGACTCCAAAAAGGGGAGAAGCATAGCGGTGAGAGCCTGACATTCAGGAGAGACCCAGAGAAGACGGCAAAACGAAGGAAAAGGGCAGGGAATTGGGCGAAATGAGAATGGGAAAGGGGGAAATTAGGGGGAGTGTGCGAATGAGAGAGAGCGAGAGAAAGAGCGAGCGAGAGAGAGCGAACGAGAGAGAGAGAGAGCCGTCCGCCACCTCACTTTGCATAGAAATGCATCCGGGGCAGCTCTTCCTTTGCAACAGCTTGGCCGCGAGCCCGATCCCCCTAAATTCGTCACATTGCCCACATTTCCATGGTGACCGGTAATTCGACGAATCCGGGCCAATGTCAGCAAATTTGGGGTGCTGGTGAAAAAAAGGCAAAGTCTAAACCTAAGCTTAAGCCCAAAGCCAAGGCCAAGCCAGAACCCAAGCCTAAGCGAAAGTCTAAGTCTAAACCTAAGCCTCACGAGCATCAAGTTCAAGAGCAAGTTCTAAAAAGCTTGTTATCCCAAAGTGAATTGCGCGAATTTCCTTAGATAAGGCTTTAAAGGGATGCCGACGGCATAGTCAATCGGTTACGCGTTGGAAAGAAAATGTCTCTGCGCCTCTCCCCGGGGCGCGCCCTCCCTGTTGGCTTTGCCAATTTGTTGATGAGGGGATCGACACATGCCGTCGGCAGCCCTTTAAGCGACCAGGTCCCCCCCACAGCCGAAGGGTCTCCAAGTTATCGGCATTTTCGCTATTTTTGTAGGGATTTTGCAACGCCATTCGATAGAGCGTCGAAAACTATACTACGAGTTTTAATTTGAGCCTACAATAATGCAAAAAAATATAGCCAAAACTTTCCGGCTAGGGAGGGGTAAAGTAAAGTGTAGCCTTTTATTAGCATCCAGTCTATTGATGTGCCTCTTCTCCGTCTCTTGTCTACTAAGGCACAAAGCATATAAATAAATGTAGACGACCTTTAGATGGTGAACACTCTGCTGGCGACCAGGCGGGACCAGAGAAAAAGCATGATTGGAGGGGTGGAGGGAGACAGCGCCGGGGAAATGGATGGATGGACCCAGCGACGGCATTTTGTCTGGATTACCGAACGTGCGCGCACCGGGTTTTCGGCCTTTTTCATATGCCCTCGGGGCACGTAGCGGACGGAGGATCTAGCCGAAAATCGAACAACACGCAAGGGATTCGAACAACTGACAATAAAGATATAAAAACGGCTAGACTGCAGACCCCGAGCCGAACCTCATCCACTGTATCTAGGCGGCCTTGAGCGCTGCAGGGGGCGTAATGTACACCAAAATACTCGCCAGACAAAGACGAACATTTTGGTATATTTTACACTCCGGTAGGCCAAGGGAGAGCTGAGATACAAAAGCTTGGGGATGGGTGAAGACAGAAACCGCGAAAAAGGCGAGTCTCGACCTGGATTTGATGTGAACTGCGTCAAACCACACGTTGGAAAGATATTTCGATATTCCTTTCGAAATTATATTTAGGGGGCTGCGAAAAATGTTGTGGACGGGCGACCGGAGGGCCAGACTCTCGATTTCGGAATTTTTTGGGGGTTTGGGGTTGGCAAGGGCAATTGGGACGCGAAAACGGCAACATCAACTTGGGGCTGTTGACTGTAGATGTCTTCACGTCGCAGTGAGATTCGGGTACCTAATGTGTGCAGAATTTTTTGCTGATCAGGAACGCGTTTTCAAAAATTTAAAAATCCTAACCCTTTCAAAAACCCCGTGAAATCTTCGTGAAAAAACTGTATGACTTTTTCCAGTTAAAAAATGCTGACGAGCTCCAGAAAAGCTCCAGAAAATTCTCGGCGCCGATTTCGACATGTTTCGACAGACCCAATGGGGGAACGCGCAGCTGGTCTTTCCCCTACCAGACATGCGGGTTTTGGCGCGCAAAAGGGCCATTCGCAGCTTTTCAGGAGGCTCCGGCTCGCTCGTAAGTACGGCGGTACTCTTTAGCGGCTGGTTGATACCCAAAAATTTGTGTAGACACTTTGTACACCTCATTTTAAAGTGAATCTTTAGTATTGGGGAACGGTATCATTGTTCGCAATTTCATACAACGGCAGGTAAGTTCAAATTACTTTATTGCAATCATCGGTTCCGACCACCTAAGAACCGAGAAAAAGGACGTTGAGCAACGGGGGTGAATGATCAAGAGGCATTTCAACACTCAGGCAGCCAGTTAAGGGATGGAATTGGCACGGTTGGCTGTAGCCTGTATGGATGGGTCTATGGGGAACCCGGGGTGGCTGGCGTGGAATTTTGGTAGACCTCAGAGTAGCCGACGGACGGGCAGGAGGCTTTGCTCGACACCTGAAGCTGGGGTAGTTAATAACGACTTTCGCGCTATATCTCTCTCTCTCTCTCTCACTCTCTCTGTCTCTCTGTCTCTCTCTCTCTCTCTCTCTCTCTCTCTCTCTCTCGCTTACTCTCTTTCTCTCTCTCACGCACTCGCTCACTCCCTCTTTCTATCATTCTTTTCTCTCACAGACTCTCTACATCTCTCTCGCTTACTCTCTCTCTTTCCCTTTCTCTCTCTCTCTCTCTCTCTCTCTCTCTCTCTCTCTCTCTTTCTCTTTCTCTCTCGCTCGCTCTCTCTATCTCGCTTACTCTCTCGCTTTTTCTCTCACTACGTGTCTCTCCCTCTCTCGCACCCTCTCACTCCCTCTTTCTAGCACTCTCTTTCTCTCGCATTCTCTCTCTCTCTCTCTCTCTCTCTCTCTCTCTCCCCCTACCTTAGTGACCGGCTTCTTCGCCACAGTCGGTGTCCGGCTAATGCTAGTATGATACTTCAAATCGGCATGCGATCGGCCGCGCAGCGTCTTAAAATAAAAGAAAAATCAAATATTAAACAAAACCCATACCTTCATCAAAATCTCCTTAAACGACGGATTCAACCACGCGTACAGAAATGGATTGGCAACGATGGTGATCATGGCAAAGCTAAGAGATTGGTTAGGTGAACGCACTCTCCGCACGTACCTATGCGTAATAGTGCTGACAAAATACTCGTAATTCGTCTCCCCGTAATAGAAGAAGCCCTCGCCGTAGTCAACGAGCATCGTGAATAGGTTGTACGGTAACCAGGTCCCGCCGAATAGCAATACCTAAATAATGCGAGGATGAAAAAGAGAATCGGAAGTCCTTACCATAGATGCGAGAATCATGGTTGTTCGTCTTTGCTGCATGACTACGGTGAGTCTTTGTTGTCCTTCAGCTGCTGGTACGTAGTCTCCAGTGTCCACCGATTGTTCATGCGCCAATGCCGTGCTATTCTCCAGAAGTTGGCTCCGCTCGCTTAGTTTCTTTAGTTTTACGGCGGCTCGCTGAAATTGGGAAAGTTACTTTGGGGAGGTGGGATGTAATTTTTTGAAGCGAGAGAGTGTGAGAGAGAGCGAGAGAGAGCGAAAGAGAGAGCGAGAGCACGAAAGAGACATAGAGGGGGGAGAGAGCGAGAAATAGATAGTGAGAGAGAGAGACAGAGAGATAGAGATAGAGAGAACGAGGGATAGAAATAGACACAGAGAGAGAGAACGAGAGTGAGAACGAGAGACAACGAGAGAAAGAGGGAGAGAGAGAGAGAACGAGAGACAACGAGAGAAAGAGCGAGAGAGAGAGAGAGAGAGAGAGAGAGAGAGAGTGAGATAAGATGATTTTTGGCAACCCTAGTAGTTTTCTAACCTCCTTGAGCACGGAAAAGATGGTATAGTAGCAGACGGCCATCGTGGCAAATGGCAGAAGGAATTGGGTGGTCAACACGAGAAGCGCATAGCCAAGACGAACATCTTGGGACGGCCAACTCTCCGAGCAGTACTGAAAACGACTGGCTTGATTTTGGATTCCAATTCTCGCACCTCGCCGCAAAATCCGGGATACGTCTGGATACGCATATACCATCCATACGGTAGACAGACGATGACGGAGACGATCCATAGAACAGCAGCCACGAGACACGCGCCTAAATAGGGTTTTCAGGCTCAGGAAGTATGATGGCGACTATAACCGATATTCATTATAGATTTTCTCACCTCTGACATTTAATGGATGTGCATGTGGTCTAACCACCAAATTGTATCTATCCAGCGCTATCGCTGATAGAGAAAACGTTGAGACGAAGATGGAGACGCCCTGCAAATGTTTCCAAATGCGAACACTTTGATAGCTGACAAAGAGTCGTTTTTAGGTGTCTTTGGAGTTTCCGGATGGGACCTAGCTAGCTCGATAGTTTTGAGCCAGATACCGTAAGCTAGGTCCCGTCCCGAAATTCCACAAGCACTTAAAAACGAAAACGTATAGCGATGCCAAACCACTGACCTGTACCATTGGCAACAAATGACAAAACGGGCTGCCAAAGTACCAAGCCTTGTAGATGTTGGTGACAAGGGTGAAGGGCATCGATAGAAGGCATACAATTACATCAGAAAGGGCAAGGTTTAGTATGAACATGTTCTGCACGGTTTGAAGATGGCGGTGCTGAAAATTTGGGGGTTATTGGAGACGTATTTTAAAGCCGTGCTAATGCTAATCGCTTACTCTAGAAAATAGTGTTTTTATTACATTTAAATTGCATTATATTTGATATTATTTTTATTATTGACGCTACCTTAAACGTGAGGTAGATGACGGCCGTATTGCCAATGAGGCCGAGCACAAAAATGTGAAGGTAGACGACGGAGAAGACGGCGATCACCCAGCCCTCATTCGTCGGGTCGGGGCGGGATGTCGTGAAATCGGCGCATTCTGACCGGTTGCCTTCCATCTGAATATGGAATTTTTAAAGTTAGCATCGTTGCCGAAAGAGAGCATCACGCTGAATATTTCCACTTTTTCGGTTTCCGGAATCGTCAGAAAACTTTATAATAATGATGGCAGGTGAAAATTGTTCAGCCCTGCTTTTACACTCGAAATGGAGGTTGGAACTCCATGAATTCGAGGATGGACCCGAAAAAACTAGGAATTTTTTAGGGTAATTAACATATTACGGTGTATCTACCCTCACCGGTGCCAGGCGCGGGGCCTGAAATGACCGGAAACACCTCGGAAATTCTCGATGACCGAAAGCCGGCCGAGTGTAAACAGGAGCATGCGGAATTGTAGCGGAATTACCGGAACTGCCGGGGATAAAGAAGGCTTGGGCTTAGGCTCCGACTGGGGCGTCGGCTTAGGCTTAGCCTTGGGCTTCGGTTGGCATAGGCTTGGGCTTAGGCTAAGCGCTAGGGTTATACTGAGACTTAGGGTAAAGCTAGAGTGATGCTTAGGCCAGACTTACGCTAAGGGTTAGGTTTAGGCCTAGGCTCCGGTGAGGCACGAGCTAAAACTTATGCTGATGCTTAGTTGCTCCCCGGAATTCATTACTAACATAAAAAATTTCGCCACTTCGCCTGCCTCATTTTTGGCGCATTTTCGGGGGTTTTGTTCGGCACTGCCCAGCTAAATGTAAGCCCAATGCAATTAATTGGAAAAGCAAGAATGGCCGTGGCAAAGAGGGAATTGCGAATTGCCCCGTTGTGACCAACCCGAAAAGGGGTATTTCCGCCTTGCACCTCTTGACGCCCTCGCCGAGGTGGAATTTATTTATTGGTGGGTTGGCGGGGAGAGAGCCGGTCGTGTTTTGAAATGTGATTAAGGGAATAGCCGATATTGTAGGTGTTTTCTACGGAAAGATTTAGTCGGAACGTATGCTTTAGAGAGAGAGTGAGAGCGAGAGAGAGAGTGAGAGAGAAAGAGGAGAGAGAGAGAGAGAGAGAGAGAGAGAGAGAGAGAGTATTTCTGAAAGAGTGAGATTAGACTGAAATTTTCAATAATGAAATGGACCTTTGGCACAATTTTGGACAAATTTTGAGATTATCCGATCCGACCAAGAACGACCATCAAGCCCAACTTTTTCACAGAACTTGAAGACCTTATAAAAAGTTCGGGAGATCAGCGAATAGAAAGTGGGATCGCATGCTCAATAAATACGGGCAAAACTCTAACGATGTACGTCAGAAAATTAGAATCCAAAATACGGTCGATTGCTTAGGTCCAGATACCCAAACCGATTAAGGTCCAGATGAATTGTTTGCACAAGTACGAAGATAAATACTGCCTTTTTTCTTGAATACGATTAGTGGCGAGGAATCTTTAGAATTCGGTACCTGACGATTTGCCTAACCAAAGATTGTAAGAAAATCGCAAATTCCCCGGCCAGGTTTTCAATTAAAAGGGATTAGCCGATGGGGGATTAATCTGGAAAAGGAAACCCGGCGATTTATGGCCACAGCGTTGATCAGGCATGCTGAATTTATAAGCTCATGCTTTAAAACTACTGTGGCTGATGGCTAATTGGGAGGTTAGAGAAAGAGAGAGAGAGAGAGAGCGAGTGAGGGAGAGAGAGAGAAAGAGAGTGGGAGGGAGAAGGACGAAGAAACAGTAGAGTCTATTCGCATTTTATGGCGCGAAATTATGGGGGTGGAGAGAAGGGCAAAATACATAGATGACGGAAAGAAAAAAACGTAGCAAATCAAATTAGAGGGATTTAAGTGGTAATTGGTGGTGGAAAGGGCTCTTGAAGGTTTGCTGAGCTTTGGAGAAGTTGTAGAAGTTCATGGTGCACAGAAAAAGGCCGGTCGTAAGCCTAAACCTAAGCCGAAAGCAGAGCCCAAGCTAAGTCCAAGCCTAAGAGCCTAAGCCTAAATCTATGTCTAAGCCTATCCATAGCCTGAAACTAAGCCGGAAACTAAGCCTAAGCCCAACCTAAGCCTAAGCCTATCCATAACCTGAGCCTAAGCCTTATCTACTCAACAAACCAAAAACCCGTCCAAAGAACCATCCGGGCTTCCCAGAAATTCTGAATTTCTCGGACCCCTATATTGCGCCCTGCGGCACATGCCAGCAAAACTTATTGGAAATGTGTGTTCCATCGAAGGCGTGGAGAGTGGATATTGGCCATGTCCATCCCTGTCCACTAGCTGCCAAAGATCGACACCACACATTCCAGCTGGTGCTCAAAGTTCCGGAGCTTCCGGGATGAGCTTGAGCGGGAGCCGAATCTCACAGTTACTACCGATAAAAAGATAAAAACACTAAAAATAATTGACTTCCGACCTCCAATCTGGCTTGTCTGACGGAGCAACCCGAGAAATCGCCGCCCACCCCGTGGAACAGTCGCTAATTTTTTGAGTGTCAATCAGGGCTGTGGCGGTCTGAGTTTTTGACGAGCCGCCTCAAAAAAGTGGGTAGACATCGGGAATGACTGATGGTGCTCACAAGAAACATTGGTGTTCCTCGAAAAATACGCGGTTTTGACCACAGATCAACGCGGAGGTTTTGGAAATGTTGAAGCTGATCGAGCAACTAATGGTGCTTCCTGTTAGAGTTCTTGGAATGAGTGAGGGAGAGAGGGGGGAGAGAGAGAGAACGAGAGAGAGACGGAGAGAGACGGAGAGAGAGAGAGAGAGAAAGAACGAGAGATGGAGAGAGGGAGAGAGAGAGCGACAGAGGGAGAGGGAGAGAGAGGGTAAGATGTAGAGAGATGGAGAGAGAGCATAGAGAGCGCGAGAGAGAGAGAATGAGGAAGAGACAGAGCAACAGCCACACCAATATATCCATTATAACGTATTACGCATAGCGTTTCCGAGAGCAGCTAATCCAACCTCGAAAAATCTGCGCAAACTCAAAATGCGGAACTAAATCCCAAGATCCCCGTTTTTCACCAATTTTTCGCGTCAATAGAACGGTACTGAAGCCACAACGGCGTAGAACCCAAATCCGGGTCCAAATTTTGTGAAAAAAAAAGAGGGAGCCCCTGGGGACACAATCAGAAGAGTGCAAGTTTGAGTTGAAAAACATGTTTTTTTTCGGAAATTAATCCGCTCAATTATGCTAGATTATAGCGAGAGCTAAAAGAAGGCACAATTAGTAGGCAATGGGAGAGAGAGCGAGAGAGAGGGAGAGAGTGAGACAGAGAGAGCGAGAGAGAGAGTGAAAAGGGGGAGAGAGAAAGAGCGAGATAAAGAGAGAGAGAAAGAGAGAGAGAGAGAGACAGAGAGAGAGAGAGAGCGAGAGAGAGATCATCAAATAGCAAAATAAATAGCATTGTCAAACGAGAATTCCAAATGCGTAGGTACGAATGTTGACTGACCATTGACCATGACGTTCCCCCAATTCTCGGTCCAATCCTAATCAAATCCGAGGTACGACGCACAGCAACCAATTTTCGCCCGTATGTCTGCCAATAAAATTTCGCCTTTGAGGTGCTTTACGCGGCGGACATTACGGTATTACAACTGAGACGATAGAACGTTTAATGGAATTGTTAGAAGTTTTCCTAGGAGTCGTAACATCATTGTCCTGTATCGGTAGCCCAGCGAAAAGTTATGCATGCCTGATAGTCAAAAAAGGTAAGATTTTACTTTACCCCCCTCCCCCCAGCCGGAGGGTCTCAAGGTTTTCGGTATTTTTGCTTATTTTGTCGGGATTTTTGCAACGCCATTCGATAGAACGTCGAAAAATATACTAAGAGTTGCAATTTACAATAATGTAAAATAAAAAGTTAAAGCCAAAACATTCCGGCTGGGGGAGGGGGTTAAGTAAAGTGTAGCCGGAAAAAATGCACGAAATTTGAAAATCTCCTTCTCACAGATCCAAGCAACTATGGCGATTTTTTTTGATCAATAATCTAGCCAATTCAAAGAACCATCCATGAAGTTAGTTAAGGGAAGAGGATGTGTGGTGGTGAGTTCTGATGGTTGGGGGTAGATGGATGAGAAGATGTGATGGCTTTCAAGGATGAATGCCCCCCACGAGGGCTTATATGAATGGCCACTGGGGGAAAAGCCTTCAATTTGTGTCTCTGCTCGCTACCCATTCCACTCCACTCCTCATCACATCGTCATTTGGGCGAAGAAATGGATTGTAAAAATAGGGGATTCGTGCACGGCGCAAGCTCCACGTAACTAGCTCAAATAAGCGTTTAACGAAGCCCAAGCTCAAGCCTAAGCTCAAACATGAGCCAATCTTAAGTCAAGCCTAACTAAGCCAAGCCTAGGCCAAGCCTAGGCCAAACCTAAGCCAAGCCTAAGCAAATCTTAAGCCAAGCCTAAGCCTAAGCCTAAGCCAAGCCTAAACCAAGCCCAAGCAAATCTTAAGCCAAGCCTAAGGCTTGCCACAAACCTAAGTCTAACCTAAGCCCAAACCTAAGCCTTAACCTAAGTCTAGAAAAAAAAAAATAAAAATCTAAATAAGCCAAAGCCTAGGCCCACGCGATAAAACTACTTACTAATAACGGATTCCAACCGGAAATAGCCTCCCGATGCCCCCTCTGAGAGGTTGTGTGGGCAATTAGCGCGGGTTCATCATGCCCGGAAACCCAATAAATAATTCGGCAATTCGGGACGAAGAGTTTCGCGTATGCCCCCAGAAAAGGGAATGCTCAACTTTGGATGGCCCCAAGGTTAAGCCCCAAAATCTCGCCGCGCCGGACGTTTTTTGGTGTTCGGCGGGCGCGCTCAGCGCCGAAAAGTGCGTGTGCCCAGAAATGGGACTCTGGCAGGGTGGGGGGGGGGGGCTGGTTGACACGCGAGATTCTGAAAAGTGATGAAAAATGGGGGGATGAGCGGCACTTGTTTCGGGGGGAACGTGGAGGGCTTTTTGAACGTTCCAAGGGTTTTGAGGGCCGGAATTTATGGAAGGGGAAGGGTTAAAGGGGCTCCGAACTGCCAAATCAAAGCCCTTTTGTGAGGCCTCTTTGATTTCTGGCAAATTGCCAGCGGGCGATGC